TGAATTAATCTTCATTTTCAATGTTAGATTATTGATTTTTTTAGAGTAATCAGAGGAAGTTTCTACAATTTCATAAAATGAATTTTCGAGATTTGAACACCGATTCAGAGTCGGATTTGAGTGAAATTGGTATGGTTGAACCTGTAATTGGATGGGTTGTCGTATTTTGTGAGTTTCGTCAGATTCCAAGACGTGGGCCCCACGAGCGATATTTGGAGTGTAATTTCAAATTTTGTGGGAAAATATTAGTATTTTGATATGGAATTAATTCCTATAATTATGTGGACTGAATCAAATTAATTGTGGCTAGATTCGAGCCGTCAGAAGTTAATACGCGCATAATGGAATTTCTAGAGCATTGTTTAGCTTGCTCGATATTGGATTCGTCTTGTTTGAGGTAAGTAACTCTTCTAATCTTGGAGCTGAGGGTATGAACCCTGACTATACGTGTTATGTGTTTGGTGTTGGGGTGACGCACATGCAGGGTGACGGGCGTGTGTGAACTGCGACTCCGTTATTTCTGTGGTACCGTGTAATTACTTGAACTTATCTGTAATAATGAAATCCCTACGTACTAGAGTTATCGAGCTGTGATTTATGTTAGAAGCCATATCTAGATTACATGTTTATTCTGTTGGGACCCATTGAGGTCATTACTGCTGTTGCGTTATTTGTTTAAATTTCAATGTCATACTCAGTCATATTCATTCATTGCATATCATATCTCAGTCTCTGTTGTTATTTATTAATACATCATATCATCATTTTCGGGCTAGTTTTATAACACTGTGAGCCTGTGAGAGAGAGAGAGAGACTGGAAAGATTAATGACTGAGTGAGGTCGAGTGCCTGATTATGAGTGATATTTATGGGATCGGGCTGCACGCCGCAATGGTTATACTGATTTATGATAGCGCTTGGGCTGAAAGAGCCCCTCCGGAGTCTACACACACCCCCAGTGAGCGCGACTGATTTATATTGGGGGATGGATCTTCCCTGGACATGGATCTTGTCCGAAGCATTTATACCTTGGCCGGATTGGCCTTACTCAGTACTCAAACAGTGAGTTTGAGTACTCTGAGAGTGTGAGAACATGGGTTTATCTCTGAGATACATTGCATTGACATGCACACATGACATACATGCATAGAGATGTATGTTCCTCATGATATATGGTATCTTGTCATTCATGACTTCTCACACATATTGGCATATGTGTATAATGATGCATTTTCCACTGGCTATCTGGAAAGAAAATGAAACATCTTATTTATTGTTAAAAGGATTTTGGGAAAAATTACTATTTTCAAACTTACTCATATATTTGGCAACTTCGCTAAACCACTTGGGTTTTCATTGATATACTTAAAAGGTAGAACTAATTTCAGAAAATCATGATTAAGTTGAGAATTTTATCTCCGAGTTACTTCTTTTATTACTTGCGTTATGTCGTTATGAACTGTTGTTGGTTATTGGAGTTGGACTCTGACCTTGGTACAAGCTCGTCACTAATTTCAACCTAAGGTTAGGTTTGTTACTTAATAAGTACATGGGGTCGGTTGTACTCATACTACACTTCTGCACCTTGCTTGCAGATATTGGATTTTGTTGTTGCTATGCCCGACGGGAGTTGGAATTGAAGGAGTACCTACGTTCCGGTTGTAGCTGCCTCTTGTTCATGGTAGCCTTAGATTTATAAAAATCTGTTCATGTATATTTCGAACAGATGATGTATTTATTTCATACCAGTTTTGTGAACTCTATTCTTAGAAGCATGTGATTTGTACTACCAGTCCTTGGGGAATGTGTTAGATTCAAATAATTCTTTGCTTAATTGCTTTATTAATTGTTATAGGAATTTGTTAGTGGTTAATTGGCTTACCTAGCGAGTTGGTTTAGGTTCCATCACGACTAGTCTGATTTTGGATCGTGACACTATAGGTTGATCAAACATGCGAAGCTCAATTATATGCACCCAAGATTTCACTCAGGCATCAAACATAATTAGACTTAACACTAACAGGTAGAGTTCTGTAGAAATCATCATATGCAACAAATACAGTATTGGATTCACAAATAGTAGAGAAAGACATAAGTCATGTTTACCCAAAGTTCAACAGTGTTAGCATGATCATGGATTAACTCTAGGAAAATAGTAGATTGTACATGAAGGATTTTAATAGAAAGAAGTACATACGAAGGTTCTAGGCATGAATTAGTCTCTTACAAGTATCCAAAGCAGACATGGAGGTAGACTCATAACAAACAACAACATAAGAACTTAGATACACATAAACATAATCGACTACGCATGCTTAAGATAGTCAGAAGTTATTCAAGCTAAACACACATAATGAGAATATATTGAAGTCTCGAATTTAGGTAAGTTTGGATACTAGAAAAACACAGAACTGCAGAATAACTTCAAGGTAAATTGGATTGCAAACGAAGATTACACAATACTGAAATCATATTGGTACATAAATGTTCAAACAACATGGACATACAGAGTGTTGAACACAAGTGGAAAGAAAAATAGAATTGCAAGGGTCAAGGTACTTACCAGTTTGCAGATTAACGAGTAGGTTAAGGAGAAAATTAAGTGCCAATAGTAGTTCAATTAGCAGTAGTAGAGAAAAAACAGCATGACTCCCAAAATCCTAGTGCGTCAGAGTTCCCAAGGGTTTCAAGTGAACCCCAGGCAGTGCTCGCACTGAGAAAAGAGCAACAATCGAATTCTGGTGGCCTTGGCTTTTAGCCGACCAAGGTCTTAAGTTTAGAATAGTAGAATGAGTGATAGTAAGAGAGTAATAGTAGTCGTTAAGGTCTATCTTAGGGAGATTGGGGAAGGGTTTATATAGTAGAAAAACTAAATAAACAAACAATGAAACACATTCAATCAAGCATAATAAAAGAAATACAATCATGCAAATCAATTAAGAATCAAATTTGGAAAAATATCAGGCAAACCCTAGTTTCTCCCAAAATCAAAGATTCGGCAAAATTCTTGGTAAATCGGACCCATATAACCTTGCCATGCATGTATATAGACGAAACATCATCTAGATCTTGAAGTTCGACGATGATTGTTCTTCATTAAAGACTTGGCACTTGCCATAAATAGGCAAGTACTAGGTGATACCATAACCATGTAAGTAACGGTGAGATAGAACATATATGGAAGGGAGCTCATGGGGAGATTCCATATTAGGGCCGAAATTGGAGAAGATAAAGGAGACGAGTGCTAGGGTTTTACAGGAGAGGGGAAGAGGAGAGTAAGGAGCATTTGGGGGCGGCGTCTCAGGAAAAATGGGTAGGGTTTCGGGGGGTGGGTAATTAAAGGTGTAGGATAATTATGGGTCGTTGATCTTGAGAGATCAATGGCCAAGATTAAAAATTAACCGGGCGGGTTTTTTTAGTGGGTCGCGACTGGGTTGAACTGAAGGGGTCGTTTAGTTTGGGCTAAAGGATTGGACAAGGGATTTTAGGGAATTTGGGCCACTAAATTGGTCCGAAAATTGGCCTATATTGGGCCAGTTTTTAAAACACTCAAAATAAATTAAGACAAAATTATTAAAACGTCTAGTAAATAGAAAAAAAATATTATTTATGAAATAAAATAATTAAAAATAATAACTCAATATTATAAAAATATAAAACTACTATTTTGGCATAAATGATATAATAAACGCAATTATTCTTGTAGAATGTAGGCTATTATTGCAACTAATATAGATAATAGTAAAAATGCAAATTGTAGTTATGTAAAAAAAGGGATAAAATATTATAAAATGCATGTGGCTATAAATAGTAAATTTGGACGATTAGGTCACCCAAAAATGATTTGAAGGAATAATTAATAAATAGTTGAGTAATTAAAATGCAAGAAAATCAATTTAAAATTATTAAACAATATTTGCATAACCCCTATAAGTTGGGTACAATAACAATCCAGGAGAATCCGACAAGTGGGGTCTGGGGAGGGTAGTGTGTACACAGACCTTACCCCTACTCCGAAGGAGTAGGGAGACTATTTTTGATAGACCCTAGGGCTCAAGAAGATGAGAAGAGACAGTGGCACGGTGATATTAGACGAAGCAAGAAAGAAACAAAGATAACATCAACAACGTAATAACCAGAAAATAGAGAGAAAAACAATAACAATAAGTAGTAAAAATAGCACAGTACTACAGACCCAATGGAGTAATATCGATACAAAAAGAGCCACTAGCAACCTAAGACACTACACTATCGGACTAGCCTCCTACGACCTAACATGCTGCCCGAAAGACGTAATATGGACATAATTGAAGCCACTAGTAGCCTAAGATAGAACCCATGCTAGCCTCCTACTTCTTAACCTACAATCTTAATGCTCGTCCTCCAAAAATTCCTATCAAGGGACATGTCCTCGAAAATATGAAGCCACGCCATGTACTGGAGGATCACCTCTCCCTTATATTTTGGCTGCCCTCTACCTTTTCTCACACTTATCAAGGCCAGCCATTCACACCTCCTAACTGGGGCATCCATACTTCTCCTCCGCATGTGCCCGAACCATCTAAGCCTAGCTTCCCGCATCTTGTCTTATATGGGGGCCACGCCCACCTTCTCCCGGATATCTTCATTCCTGATCTTAAACAGCCTAGTGTGCCCTCACATCCATCTCAACATCCTCATTTCTACAACCTTCATCTTCTGGATATGATAATTCTTGATTGGCCAACACTCAGCACCATACATCATAGCTGGTCTAACCACTGCTCTATAAAACTTACCTTTAAGTTTCGGGGGAACCTTCCTATCGCACAAGACACCAGACGGTAGCCTCCATTTCATCCACCCCACTCTTATATGGTGCATAACATCCTTGTCAATCTCCCCATCCTCCTAGATAACCGACCCAAGGTACTTGAAGCTCTATTTCTTGGGGATGACTTGAGAGTCAAGCCTCACGGCCATGTCCGCTTCTCCCGAAACACCGTTGAACTTGCACTCCAGTCATTCTGTCTTAGTCCTGCTCAACTTGAAACCTTTACACTCAAGGTTCTGCCTCCAAACCTCCAACCTCTCGTTAACATCATCTTGTGTCTCATCGATCAGAACAATATTATCGGTGAATAACATACACCATGGCACCTCCCCTTGGATATGGTGTGTCAATACGTCCGTCACTAGGGTAAATAAGAACGCGCTAACGCCGATCCTTGGTATAAACCCATACAACCGGAAAGTCGCCCCCACTGTCCTAACCTGAGTCTTAGCTACATCATACATGTCCTTAATCACCCTAATATAAGAAACCAGAACACCTTTCACCTCCAGGCATCTCCAAAGAACTTCCCTAAGGACCTTGTCATATGCTTTTTCTAGGTCAATAAACACCATGTGCAAATCTTTCTTCCCATCCCTGTATAGTTCAACCAACCTCCTTATAAGATGGATAGCTTCTGTAGTAGAACGACCAGGCATAAACCAAAATTGGTTATCAGATATCGACACCGACCATCTCACCCTCATTTTGTCACTCCCCAAACTCGAGGAGCGCGACCGGTGCTCAACCGAGTGAACCCGGTCGAGCAAGCCTATTAGATATCCTTTTAACCAAACTAATCCATGAATAAAGATGAGATGCACTCCATTAATCAAATGCTGAAAATATTTTATTAACGACTCCCATTTCATTTCATTAGCAGCTTCATTCAAAATTTCACAAGTCTATAGATATAATGAAAAACATGTTTTCCAAATAGCAACATCATACACCACCCACAACCTGTCTACGGAGCCTCTAAATATGACAGAAGAATAGTATGGAAGTGCCGGCAACAAGGCCCCGGCTATACCTAAAGACACAAAGTGTAACATCAAGTGACATCGGGCCCGGAATAGAGTAGGGCTCACCAAAACCTGTTGAATTGGGAGTAACTGCTAACGAGGACCAAAGTTGCACCGCTGATGAATCCCCTGCATCCATTGAAGATGCAGCGCCCCCGACAAAAGGGACGTTAGTACATGTGGAATTGTACTAGTATGTAAAGCTAACTGTCCTCTTATAAAATAGAATACCAATATAAGAAAGGGAAATCCATAGAACCAACAAGTCACAATCAATGATATTCAAATGCCAAGTTAAAACATAATAATTTCCAAAATATGAAGATAACACAGTGAAGTGATAATCAAAATATGATGATAATATTATTTTTGGTTGGGAGATCTTTAGCACCGATATACCACTATTCACAATACCAATGTTCACAATACCAATGTTCACAATACCAATAATCATAATACCAATGTTCACAATACCAATATTCACAGTACGAATACCACCGTACTTTTAGCACGGAGTCCGATCACGACCCAATCGGCTAGGCTATCTCATTAGAGAATCAACTACAATTACTATCAATACCAATACCACCGTAATTTTATCACAGAGTCCAATCACGACCCGATCGACTAGGCTATCTCATTAGAGAATCAACCACAATTACTATCAATACCAATACCATCATAATTTTAGCACGGAGTCCGATCATGACCCGATCGGCTAGGCTGTCTTATTCGAAGACATCACCTAAAATCTCAATTTCAATTACAATTTCCAGCACAATCACCACCATGTGTGCGCCAGGGAGTCCGATCACGACCCGATCGGCTAGGTTGTCTTATTCGAGACATCAACCCTTTTATATCAATCAATCTCATCCCAATTAAGAGGAATAATTTTATCACATCAATGTCATCCCAAATAAAGGGAATAATTTACGAAAATAACATAGGTGCAAATGTATTTACCACATCATCTTTCACATTGTATAAATCTCCACTAGTATTTTCAACCAATAACAATAACAATATTTCCTTGGTTCATTTCTTCCCTCTCATGTATCATCATCATAAATATCAACATACATATAATATTCTGGAAATCACACTTTTAAGTTCATTAGAAATGAACAATTTAAGGATAATAGATTTATTTCCGAGAAATGGAGTAAAATGATTGGAAATTGATGCGCAAGTTAAAATCATCAACAAATAACACACCATTTATTATTGACATATTTTTCCCCACAAAAGGCAATACACAATTTCCACTCACAAATGATAACGTCTGTTAAAACAACCACATATGAGCATGACTTGAGTTTATAACCTTTTATGCAATTCTATTTTCGAAGTAAATTTGGAATAGTTTAATCAAGGCTCATTTCATAACCTTTCTCACATCATTTCATTTCATTGGCACCATTAGCCACAAGTATAACTTTCACTTATATCAATCATCGCATTTCATACTTCTTTCACATTTTTTAATTCCATTGGCACCATTGGCCACATGTATAACTTTCACTCTTGCACATTGGCCACACTTTATATCTCAATTCACTTATTTCACTTCCAACCATCTTTATAGGTTTTCAACAGTAAGACATTTCCAATCAAGACTTTAGGTACACATATGAGCAATTAAGAGTCTTAAGCATATTGAGTTTTCTCACACAATTTGGAATCATAACCTTCATTTGAAACACAACTCAAAGACATAGCATTTTAATACACATATAATTCTTGAACACATTCCCAAAGGATAACATAATGTGTTAGGAACATTCGAAACACGTTTTGAATACTTAATTCTCGACACTTTGCTTATTCGGGACAATCAAATTTATTGGGAACACCTCGGAACATAGAATAAGGAACTTGAGACAACCATACTTGAAACTTATGAGAACATCATTGAATTCAATTCTAAGAGAGTAGTTTAGCCAACATACCTTGCTTTGACCTTTACTTAAATTACTACAATGTTCCGGAAATTCTAGCAATCCCAATCTATTTTGAGACATAACAAAATTGAACCATTATTAGGAAGATATTCATGGTATGTACTCATTTGAGCATTTTATCAAACACTAAGTGCGCAAATTTAACTGCAAGGTTCTTCTACAAGATTTCCTTCACTCCACAACAAAATATTTATTTATTTGAGCTCAACAATCTTCCCACAAACCTTATTAGTACAAGCATGTATAAATAATACTCTTACACCTAAGAATTATACTACCAATCATCCATCTTTTACCCCAAACTCGAAATTGAAGACTAGGGGTTTGAATCATACCTCTTAGCTGAAGATCTTGTGAGATTTCCTTCTTGGATTTCAAAGCTTGGGCAAGATCTTGATGAACAAAACACTTCATCTACTTTCCCTTTCTAGAACACTCTCACTTCTTTCTAAAAAACCTGAGATGATTGCCCCAAAATAAGCCCCAAAGGCTATTTATCAAAATGGGGTCGGGTTATGAAAATAAAAAAATTAACCCTCCGAAAGCAGGTCTGCGGTCACATAATGGACCGCAGAATGGGTATGCGGGTCACAAATACCGGTGCCCAGAACTGGGCTATTCTGGTCCATTCTGCGACCAGTTTGCGGTCGCAAAAGCACTTCCACGATCGCATAATTGTTCTGCGATCACAAAATTGGTCGTAGAATCTCATTTTTCCAGTCTTTGGTAATTTGGTCATAACTTCTTGTAGGAATGTCCAAATGACGAACGATTTGAAGAGTTGGAAACTAGACACATAGAAATTTCGTTTGATAGGTAATACACCATATAACACTTCATATCAAGAGAGGTATGCTCATTTTAAGTTAGGTTTTGTGCGAATTCACTTGAAACTTTTATCCCATCATACAATTTTCAATGTGACTTAGCCTTGGAGATCTTCTTAGATCATAAACCATTCTTAATGTACATCATACATATATTATCATGATAAACTGATATTATTCATATAATAGTCCCTTTTTCTACACACAAAATAATATAATTAGCATCACAGTAACAATATATTCATTACTCAATGATGCATCACAGTATATATCAACAACACCGTTCTCAACATTAGGTTATTACATTAACAAAAGTGGTATCTTGACATGAAAGGTACACATTTAAGCCATAATGCATAGAAGGTACATTTTTTAACCACAACCATTTTGCTCTTCAAACAAGTGAGAATATTTCCTTTCCTCAACACTTTCGGCCTACGAGGTGATCTCCTCGACTCACATACTTAGCCATAGCACTTGACGGAGACAATCTTAACTTCCGGACTTATCTAGAAAGGATAGCAAATAGTTCCTCCTCATAATCCAATTATCCATTAACATCACCTTCTTAGACATAGACACATGAAACACCGGGTACACGGAGAACAATAATAGGGAAACATCATACTCATAGTTTAGCCTATTTTCTTCAAGATTTCATAAGGCCTATTGTGATTACATATACATTACCTTTATTTAGAGAAAATCTTTAGAATAACCCGTTCACTTTCTTCAATTCTAAATCTCTATACCAAACAGCTAAACTAAACCTTTTGCGACCTCCAACAATTACTCTAAGATGTGCTAGCATGAATATGACCCTAATTCTTTTTATCCAAGATATTTGATCACAGGATGGTACTTCTTCTTTGATATATTTGAACCTTTAAACCCCATAGGTTACTATAAATATGAACAACGAGGTTCGAGATTGGATAGAACTATTCAATAATTCATCAATATGCTGAGCACGATATTTCAGGAGGTTATATCCTAAGAGACATGAAGGTTACTACCAATAGTACTGACACGGTTAATCATTGTGATAACTTCATTGATTCGATACATGAGGCATAGAGTTGCCTAGTAGGCATTGATAATGTAGGGGCCATGTTCATGATTCTGAGATGTAACAGAAGTGAGTCATGAAAAGGACATCACCAATTGTTTCATTCCATCCGTGCCTTATTTGGCAATAGTAGGCCTCAAAGAGAGATAACACTTATGTGACACCAGTCGCCTCCTGGAGTGTAGGGAAAACCAGTTTAATTCGAAATAGAAATATTCTAGCACCCCGAACGTGATTTGGGTTTCAAAATGCATGAAATTGCATTATGCTCTTAACTGTATTTGACACAAGGAATCTATGCCACAAATCCAAAAGGTTGAAAAATAAGTTTAACACTTGTGAGGTTATTATCATTCTCACAGCTTAACCTTTCCTGATAGTTGATCCTATATGAGAGGACTAGAGATACGACAAACTTGTCTTTCAAATCAGTATGCTCATCATAAGGCTATTTAACTTTCAACCACACCCAAGTGAAATCATGTAGCTAGGACATCTTAATGTTGGGATCAAATTATGTATTGGTTAGAGAGAATAAACACTTTGCTGTGAGCTAGACATTCATTTTTGCCACAACAACTCTCAAGCTGCAATACTAGGCCACTTCATGGGCAACTACAATACTAGTAACAATGTGAGTTACTCATTGAGGCATGATCTAGGTGGACATGAAATTCATACTAACATGGGAGAATAGAAAGATCTTCTTAAGACAAATTCACGAAAACCTCAAATTTCCAAGAAACTTTATACAAACAAGTTACCATTTCAATTGACATGTACACATATAATAGGTGCTGAGATATGCCCTCATGTTACTAG